GATGCACCATAGAATTTATCAAATTATTCTAGTCCTGATAGCTTAAACTCATTAGTAAGGAGGATAATAGTAATAATAGTCAATTTTTATCTTTTTGCCAGAAGATTCTGATAACTCATCTCACTAGAAGTGTAGTGCAAAAATGTTATCCCTTTAAAGTGTCTCATAGCAGCCAGCCACCTAGTCATAGTAGACATCCACAATATCTCAATAATCCAAATGGTTGAAATGTGTCAGGAATTGCTGTGATAGTACTAGTGAACAGCTAATTGAATGTTTTTAACTTATTTATAAATCATGCTAAGTATTTCATTGATTAGTATTTGTGAACTGCATTGTAGTCACCTTTAAATTACTTTAATGAGTAGCTACTTCAGAGATCATGCCAATGAATCAAAACCTTTTTTAAAGAATAAAAAATAGTGATAGAAAAAAACAGTGTTAGAAATGATACGATTTCACTAAACAAAGTAATAGAAATTCAACAATGGTTACTGCATTGTTATGATGTTATCTTCAAATTAGTTGTTCAGAATACCAGATATAAACATGTAAGATTCATTTAAGCAAAACAAAACAGCAAAAAGAAGTTTTAAGAAATTAAAGAGGAAGAAAGAAAAAATAATCAGAGTTAAAAAAAACAACATTCACTGCTTCTTTTAAAAGACCAGCAGAAGTCGACAATACAGTTTCCCAAATTATTCTGTATATATACTTAAGTATATCTTTTTCCCTTCTTTCATTTATCTATTTCCTCATCCCAGTTTTCCTTTTCTATTGAACAATTTCTTTCCCTTTCACAGTATCTGTTATACCTTTTAGATTTTTATTACTCTATCAGGTTCTCACACTAGCGAGATAATACAATGTTTGTACATGTGGATTAATTTCACCTACATATATAGTCTCTAGTTGTTTCCATTTATCTACAAAAACCTTGAATTTATCTTTTTTATAGCTTAATAATACTGCATTGTGTAAAAATACCATATTTTTCTTATCCATTCCTCAGTTGATGGGCATTTGAGTTGTTTCCAAGATTTAGCTATGGTGAATTGCACTGCTATAAACATGGGTGCACATATATTGCTGTGGTTTGACAATTTCAGTTATTTTTGGAAAATTCCTGGGAGGAGAATAGCTGACTTGAATAGGACCTCCAATCCTAGCTTTCTGAGGAGCCACCATATTGCTTTCCATAATGGTTGTACCAGCCTGCACTCCCACCAACAGTGGAGAAGGGTTCCTTTTACCACACAGTCTGTCCAACATTTGTTACTGGTTGACTTTTTGATGATAGCCATTCTTTCGGCATAAAGTGGTGTCTCCACATTGTTTTAGTTTGTATCTCTTGAATGACCAATGATGTTGAACATTCTTTCATATATTTATTTCCATTTCTATCTCTTTATTTGTGGATTATATATTCATCTCAGATGCTCATTTTTGGATTGGATCTTTGACTTTGGAGGCCTAATTGTTAAAAATTCTTTATATGCTCTAAATAGGAGTCCTTTTTCTGATGGACAGTCCACTATAATTGTCTCCCACTTCGTGGGTTTTCTTTTTACTCTGTTGGTAATTTATTTTGATGTGCAGAAACTTTAAAAAAAATGAGATCCCAATTGTTGATTACTTGAAATCCCTTCTTTTCCATGCAGTTTGATTTTTGTCATGAACTCTTAACCCTATGTCCTTAAGGCTTCTACCTACTTTCTCTTCCAGAAGATTTAATGTTTCAGTTTTAATATTTAAATCTTCGATGCATTTTGACTGTAGTTTTGTGCATAGTGCTAGACATGGGTCTAATTTTAGCCTTTGGCATATGGAAAGTCAGTATTTTCAGCACCATTTATTAAAGAGGCTGTCTTTCTTACAACGAACATGTTTGGCAGCTTTGTCAAAGATAAGGTAACTGAGTGTGCTTGCAATTGTTTATACAACTTCTAATCTTTTCCATTGATCCTCAGATCTGTCTCTATGCCAGTACCGTGCTGACTTTATCACAGTAGCTTTATAGTAAAATTTCAAGTCAGGGATTGTAATGCCTCCTGAAAATAAATTAAAACTCCTAAAAACTTAATGCATTAAAGAAATACAAACTACGTAAGCGTTTGGTTTTACACAATGAACATTTGGAATGATTTTCCCAGAATTGTTTGCTAGGTAAGTTGTATGTAAATAATTGTAATGATTCCAAAGGTTAAAATGATTGACAATGTCATCTTAAGAATGAATTGCTAGTTGGGTATAGTGGCATATGCCTATAATCTCAACACTGGGGTGGCTGAGGCAGGAAGAGGATTGTCATGAGTTAGAGGCTAGCCAGCCCAAGATATATAGTGAGTTCATGGCCAGCCTGGACTATACAGTGAGACCCTGTCTCAAAATAAATAAATAAGAATTGCTTAAAATAACATTAGTATATTTTTACTTACCTTCCATTACTGCCTCTCATGCAATTTGTTATAAAAGCCTTGAAAAGCCAAACTTAACTGCTGAATTATTGTGTATATTACATAATATTAGAAAATCATTGGACATTTTCTCTCTCTTTTTTTTTTTAATTTTAGGAAAGGGTCTACAGGGTGTTCAGGGTCTCACAACTAGATCCGACTTCTAGTGATCTGCCTGTTTACAGCCTCCCAAGAGCTGGAATTACAGGTGCGCGCCACCATGCCCAGTGTCTAAGAGTGTCCCGGGGACAAGGCCGGCACAGCAGGCCTGGGGATCGAACCCCCAGCCCTTGCGCCTGCTTGCAGACCCTTCAATCTGCTGAGGTCTTTGGTCAGCCCTGATATGACTGATTATTTTATTTTACACCAAATTTATATATTTTTATTTCCTATTTTAAAAATTATTAGAAAATTCTTGATTGGAATTAAGTTGAAGTTTTAGAAAAGTTTGGGTAGAAGTGAACACTTAGGGTTGGCCAAATAGTTCAGCGGATTAAAGTGCCTGCAAGCAGGAACAGGGGCCGGGGATTCGATTCCAGGCCCTACCTTGCCCGGCCCACCCCTGGGGCACACTGAGTTGGTGAACGTGAACAGTCCCACACTGGGACTGGGTGTGGTGGTGTGCGCCTATAATCCCAGCTCTTGGGAGGCTGTAAACAGGGCAGTCACTACAAGTCCGATTTAGTAGTCAGACCCTGAACACCCTGAATACTCTTCCCTAAAATACAGGGGAAAAAAACAAAACAAAACAAGAAAAAGAAAGTGAACACTTAATGATTTTATAGACTTGAGTGTTTTTGACCAGCGACATTGTGTGTTCACCAATAAAGGTTTTCCACTTCTATATAGTTTTCAAACATGTCTTGATAATGTTCAAAGCATATTATTTATATTCTTCCTTGTTATTATATCTGCTAAGAAGTCCCTGTACACAGAAAATCCAGTAATATGTATCTATATACCTCCACTCACAGTCTGTCTTGGCAGTGCTGCAGTTGTACGTTGCAAACAGTTTGTCAGCTGTTTCAGGGGAACAGTGAAAATACTGGAAAGGCAGCCCAGGTTCATTTTTCTCAGTTGCAATCCTTTATTTCTTTAAAGCTCTTCTTGTAAGTGTTATTGTCAATAAATAAATACCCTAGTTTCTAAGCAGAGAAGCTCAGAGGTATTTCAACTATCAGAATAACTTGATACTTTATATTATTTGTTATGAAAAATTAAAATTTGTGACTTTAGAGGTATATTTTATATTAAACACTGTTATTTAGAATTCTTTTTTTTTTTTTTTTTTTTTTTTGCTGAACCGGGGATTGAACTCAGGCCCTTGCGCTTGCAAGGGAAGCACTTATTCCACTGAGCCCTCTCCCCGGCCCCTGTTATTTAGAATTCTTAAACAAAACTAAACAAACAAATTACTCTCATGTTTTGTGATATTATCCAAATAGAATTGAAAATTATTCAAATCTAGCCTTCTGGTTCTTATTTATGACAGATTAAATTATACTATTGGATTAATCAGCATATTTTCCTAATAAACTGAAAGCTACTGGTATACAAATAAGGCTTCACAGGATTTAATGTCTCTCTAGAACATTCGTGATGAAGAACAGCAAAGCTAGACATTAGAAGATTCTTATTATCACATACTGTTATTAAGGTATCTTTAAAGTAAGTACAATTAGAAATAATATCAAACCAAAAGATTGTTTGTTCTGATCTGTCCATTCATTCAAAGCGGTTATTTAATAATTTACACTGAGAACACAGATTTCAATAGGGTACTTATTCTTTAATGAATAAAATATTTGTCATGTAAAATAATCCTGTAACTTACCATAATTATCATTTTATATTTGTAGCTCATGGGACATTCAGAATGGGACCACAAGCGTGGACCTCGAGGGTCACAGGTAAGTTTGCTTTCCTTTTTTTATATTTTTTTTTCTCACTGCTTTGAGCCATAGGTTTTCTGAAACTCAAGAAATAATAACAAGGAGAGGAAGGAAAAGGCAGAATAATCATGCCATTTGTTTTTATTGAAGTTAGCTGTAATTAAAATCTGGCTTTCAAACCCAAAGGCGATGCTAATATCTTCTTAGGAAAGTTCTTGTATTCCAGATCACTTGTGTTTATATGAACGTAGATTTTGTCTTCATCTTGTTTTTGTAGAATGCATTTCATCAGCAATACACTCTTCGCTTTCTTTGCTTCCTTTGATAATTTTTCCATGTACTTTTTTTACCCCTTCTATCTTCCTACTTTTGGTTAAATATTTTGAAATATAATCAGGGTGAACTGGACTAATTAGATGTCTCTAAATTAGCTGTCTTCATCTACGGGAAGTAGAAAGATGAAAGGACTTATTACTTTAGAAAAGAAACAAATCCTAAACCTTTCTATATTACCAGGCTGTTTTCATTGTCTTACTTTATGTCTTAGGCAAGGGGAAAAGGTTCCATGACGCATTTATGCTTTTTAATGACCTAATTAGACAATGTGGATTTGTTTTACTTCCATAATTACTTTGCCTGACAGAATAAAGGCTGAATTTTACACTAAGCAAATGTTCTGTCCTACTAGTGTATTTTTGTAAAGAAATAGAAAAGTAATTTTTTCTCATAGGCTATGTTTACCTAACTATAAATATGCCAAAAAAGTGGATGGAACTTTTTTTCTTCTGGTATTCACGTTTTGCATTTACTGTTAAAAAAAAAAACTATGAAAAAAATTGAATGCAGGGGCCTTGCTGGGTAGCTCAGTTGTTTAAAGCACTGCTTGGGCAAATGTAGCCAGGCAAACAGTACCGCAGTTTGATTCCCAGCTCCAAAAGCTGCACCAGACCCGTCCTTAAGGTAGCCTGAAGGAGCCAAAAAAAAAAAAAAAAATCTTTCTCATATTTTTAGACTAGCCATGGTGGTGTGCACCTGTAATCCCAGTACGTGGGAGACTGAAAACACTATGAGTCTGATCTAAGTAGTCAGACCTTGGTAAACCCTGTAGACACTGTCATAAATAAAAAAAAAAAAAAAAAAGAGCACAGAGTTTAGTGAATGTAAGTTCATTGCAAATGGTGAGTTACTCAAAAGCATGTTTTGTAAATTACATCCACCTATGTTGTCATAAGTTTGTGTGGATTAATGCATTTAATTTAGGTCTCTGGGAAAGGAAAGCAAAGTTAGTCAATCGTTTTTCATTTTGTCTATTATCAATTTGATTAGTGTCTTATTATACTGTCCAAAAGAATGTTATCTGCACTTCCACATCCCCTACATCATTTGCTGTAGTAGTTCCCCCTCTGTGCACATCTACAATGTCTTAAATCAGAATTGTGGGGAAATTAACATAAATCCCTTGTGGTTCTAAAGCAATAGCCCAGCAAAGATAAGCATGAGTAAAGAAGTCCTTGGCTTCTGATTGTTGTCACCAAGATGTTTTGATATTTGAAACCTCTAAGCACCTTGTTGAGGGCATGCCCATTCAGAGTGATGTACCAGGTGTATATTAAAATGACTGCTTAAGGTACTATCACTCCCCATAGGCTCTGCTTTTGTATAATTTATCTGTGGGTTGGGATTGGTCACTCTGTCACGTAAATTTAAAATAGCTCATAAAAGTTTGATGAAGGGGTTGGTGGTGGTACTGGAGATGGAACTTAAAGCCTTTGTGCTGTGCTATATCCACAGCCCTGTGCAATTTTTAATAAATTTTAGTCAGGTTTTTGCTTAGTTGTTCTGTTGCCCCAGATGGACTCACAGTCATCCTACCCCTGTCTCCCAGGGCACTGGACTTACATGGGTATGCCCTGTGTCTGGCTAAAACCCTGATTGTTTGACTTAACTTTGAATATGAAAACCCACAATGGAAATTTTAAATATGCTAAGTGTCATACATAGTTAGAAAAATTTGCAAGTACACAGTTTGATAAAGCTTATTTGCTTCGGCAATCAAAGGTAGTTATGAAAAGCTAAGGCATTAGAAAATGTTCACGTGAGTGGTCAGTATGAACATCTAGGACAGTAATGGCAAGCCTCTTAAACATGAGTGGCCACCCTGCAACCCCAAAGCCAGGGAAGTGCCAACACTGAGCTCTCAGCTTATATAAAAAAGCTCATCCCTTAACATCTTCGTCTTAAAAGAAAAACAAATAGAACATACATCATCGGCTTCTCACTATTGATCTAGAACCTTCTTGCATCTCCCAATTTGCAGAGTGTGAAATCTATGTGGACCACACAGTTGTCCCATTTTGATTCTTCAAGTCAGATTAAAAGGTCAAGGTTAGAAAAAAAAAAGAAGCACACATCAAAAATGAAAAATAACAACTGCAACAAAATTGATGTGACTCTTTGGAAATTTACAATAGATCATTTAAACATGAGATAATAATTTTTTACCTAGTTCCAATTTCTCAGTAGAAAGAAAAAAAAAAAGGCACTCTTTAGGTTTAGGTCATTGATCTCATCTTGCTTTATTTATTTTTTTTCTTTTCATTTTATGCCTAAAGACTTTCCGAAGAATTTCAGATAGGCTGGGTCTGCACACATGCCTCTTCGTATTTTACCCGTGCTCCTAAGGCCTCCCTCAAATCCCATAGGATGAAGTTTACTATGCGTCTCACTATGTGTATAGTACTGTCACAGTCTTACATGAAAGAGAGACTTAGTGACAAAGCTATTGTTTTTCAAGTGCTCACAAATTGTGGTTTGTTGTTGTTGTTGTTTGGTTGGTTGGGGTTTTTTGGTGGAATCGGGGCTTGAACTCAGGTCCTTGTGCTTGCCAGGGAAGCATCTATCCTACTGAGTCATCTGGCCAGCCCCAGATTATAGTTTAAAGGAGAGCAGTACATGTGTTACTTTAAAGAAAAGAAAAATAGGGGCCAGGGAGATGGCTCAGTAGAATAAGCCCTTGCCTGGCAAGTGCAAGGGCCTGAGTTCAATCCTTGGTTCTGCCAAAAAAAAAAAAAAAAAAAGAAAAGAAAAATAAACAATAAAAAGAATGGCATAAAATTTCAAAGCATTGTGGGAAAGTAACAGTGGTTAGTAGGTTATGTATTATC